CGGCCCCCGGGCGAGGGGAAGGGGGAGGGGGAGGAGGGAGCGGGCGCTGCCGCCCGCCTCTGCCCCACATCTGGCCCGCTCCCGCGCCCCTCCCAGCCCCGAGGCTCCCGCTTCTTCCGGGGCCCCAAAGTCCCCGGCAGCGGGTACCCGCGGATCAAAGCCGGCTCGGGGGCTACCCCCTCCCCCGGGGCTGGGGAAGCGCCTGGGCGCCTGAGGACAGCTTCTGTTTGGCGGGAAGAACCCCGCCCCCCCGCCTGTTGCTTTGATCTCACTGAAAAGCTCCTCGGCTTTTCCCTGCTAGGATCCGAGCCTCCCGGGCCCGAGCCGGACTGGGCTGATCTGCCTCAGACTCCCTCCCCTCGCCCCTCCCGGCTGCCTTTCCTCCTCTCCCGCCCCCCCAGGCGCACTGCTCGTGCCGACTGCCCTCAGAGCCGCCCGGGGGGGCTCAGCAGAGACCTCGGCCAGAGATTGAGCTGGAAGAGGGATGGCAATGTTTGCCTCGAGAGGGACGGGTTAGCGTTAGGAAGCTCGGCTTGGGGAAGGGGGCGAGAGGACGGGAGCCCGGCGGGGAAAGGCTGCGGCCGCCCCAGCCCCGCAGACTCCGGGGAGATGCGAAGGGGCGGCAAGCGCCGGGGAGCTGTCCAGCAAAGAGAGGTGCTGAAACGGGAGAGCCTCCCCGCCCACGGGCAGCCCGAGAAACAGCCTCAGCGCCACTGGAGCGTCCCCTTCTCCCCAGCCCCAAGACAGGATGGCAGCAGTGACCCTACGCTCCCCCGAGACCACCACTACTGCGACAGAGAGACAGGAGAGTCAGCCTGTTGAAAAGTCAAGCCAGCCTGACTCTCACTGCACTCATCTCTCTAGGACTTCCCCGGGGCCAAAGCAACCACAGAGTTTTCCTAAAAAGATTTGTCTCCGCTGGCATTGGCACTTTCCCCAAGCAGCTCCCCCAGATCATCACTGAATCTCTACCACTTGGTCAGCACCAAACCAACACCTCGATCCAAGATTTCTCTAGGGTGAACCAAAGGACAGGCTGCTGGTTTAGCGGGGTTGCATTGCTTTGGTGAATGCATTTTCTTGTTGCTGTATACACAACTGTGTATGTAATAGCACTTTACTGCAATTTACCCTGCTCCCTGTCCATATTCACATGCTGCACAGGAGGATAAGGTCTACTGCTGTTACATGGATATTGATGAGGGGAGAAAGTAGGCCTTAATACTGTACCTCAGTAAAGAGTGATGTTTCTCGTTCTGGGGGTCAGAATGCTTCTATCTCTGTGTCCGTGCAGTAGCTTCCTATTCACTGACTGGAGGCTATAGGTTTTACTGAATCTCCCAGACTTCTTTCAGTGGGAAGGGGTTGTGTATAATGTGAGCTCCTGCAATACAATTTCCCCCCTCCTGTTTGACATTTTCTATTGAATTTAGATAAACAAGCACAAATGGCTTTCCCCTAAATTTCCACCCTCAAGTTCTCCTGAGGAGGCCCAAACTTGTGTTATCAAACATATTTTAATTTAAAAAACTCAACCCCCCCCAAAAAAAACCTCTTTCTGTTTTCCAACAGCCTCTCTTCCTCTTGTGGAAAGGCTCTTCTCTTACAATTATATTTCCTTCAATGGTAATGTTCTAACCCTAGCCCCTGCAGGCTATCCTTTCAATCATGTTGTGTAATAAAGACAAATATCAGATGAATGGATGATGAGTTTTGGCCTCCCTATTGATGCTATTGTTTATCCTAATTATAAAAAGTTCTCCTTCCTCTGAGTATTGCTCTTGCTGTTGCCCTTCTCCATTAATTCAGGGTATTCTATGTCAATAATAATTATTTATCCTTCCCTTGTTTGTTTAGGCAGGAAAAGTCTTTTCTTTTCCTGTTTTTTTCTTTATAGTTCTGATTCTTATGATCAAGAGTATATGTGTCCAGGGCCAAATTCATCCCTGGTGTATCTTAAATAATTTCACTAGTGCAATTGCTTTCAACCTTTGTAGACCCAAGGTACCCCTCATTAGACTCAAAGCACCCCTTAGAAAATGCCAGTTCTTAGTTTCCACTTGGTTTTTGACTAAGCAAAAAGAGCAATTTTTCTGTTGCAAAAAGCTCAGAAAGATCACACAAAGGTCAGGGTGTTTTTAACACTATGGATTCCTCTTAGAAAGCTCAGGGTTTATCTTGTGAATCACATTTGCATGCCTAACTGTGTGACCATTACATGGCCCTCTGAGGCCCCCTCAAAATGAACTCAACCATCCCCTGATTGACAATCACTGTTCTAGAGATGCTGCCAAGATTAACTGGGCTGCCAGATACAGCCCCTATCCTTCTAACAGAGATTGATACTTAAACAAGTAATACCTTGAATATATTTTAAAAAAGGACAACATTCTAACTGTGCTCACTATAGAAGACTCAGTGAGAGTGATCTTGACAGAGCAGCCAAGGAAGAAGGAATCTTCTAACCCAGGCTTCAAAGCTTCCCTCAAGCTGCTTCTGGTAGAAAGGTGAAAGAAGATATTTTTAAAAATGGCACCCACTCTATTTAGGTTGTGCATGCAATCTATTTAGATTCCCAGGATGTGGATTATAGTGAAAGATGCCATGGATGTTCAAAGGTTTCTTTCCTTCCCTTCTCACCCAGGCAGTGCACAGTCTGAATCTGTTGCACAATGGGCTCCCACAGAGCTAAGAATCGATGGAAGCAGGAAAGAGGAGGCTAGTTAGATCTTCAATAAATTACTGGTTGAACTCATCTTATCTTGGAGTTCCAATCTGCAAATTATTGTGAATCACATACATTATCATATGAATGATCATATCCCACAGTTATTCTATCACACTGAAACTTGCATTTCAGAGCAGCAGGCAGAAGTCTCTTTCTACCCACCTTTTTCCTCTAACGGAGCCTTAAAAGATACTTCCAGACAGAAATTCATTTTCCTGTAGCCTTTTGCTTCTATGCAAAGGAATGCATAAAAAGTGGTTTCTTCATCCTGGGGTAATAAAACTGATACTTCTTGTGTTCACATTTTGTCCTATTAAAATAGCTAGATTTAGGTATTGCAGGGAAGATCAATAAATATGCATTATCACATCACAAATCATCAACAAATAGTAATTGATTCAGCATAAACACAGGACAGATCTTTATACAGAAGTTAAAGAGAATGGCAAAAGTTTTAAATAAATCCTAAGAATACTAGAATATCTTAAGAATCCTAGGAATACTAAAGCCAAATCCTGGTATCAGAACTGGGGAAGTGGCCTTTTCTGCTCAGTTAGAATTTTTCTGAAGTGCATGGATTAATGGGCTGCTTGTATGAATTAGTTTCCTTAGGATACAGATTTTGTTGCATTTTCATAGGCTTAAATTCAGATCAGTGCACAAGACTCTGGTATGAAGTATGAATTTCACTTATGCACGGGCAGCAAGAAATGCATGAAGTCCTGTGTGAATTCCTGTGCTGGGCTGAATTGCACCCTTAGATTTTAAATAATGAAATTCTGAGTCATTCTGCTTGCAAAGATAACCTTCACTATGTTAATCAGCACAGTGGTTTTTTGTTGAGTTTGCTAGCAGACAAACACTAATATATGTGTGAAGTTTCCCAATGTTAACTTTGAAATATAGGTGAGGCCATTAAATGCCAACACTTTTAAGTCACTAGTCAAAATAAAAACACTCAGCTTGAGTTACTGAAATTTAATTATACAGAACAGCTGGGGCTGGTTTTGATTTTGACTCTAAGGATCTAGAGAAGGAAACAAGTGCATGTGTGCATGCGCGCGCACACACACACACACACATTTAATCAGACTATTAATTGGGGGAAAACACTGCCTGCACAACTTCATTTCAAGGTAGTTTTGCTAATGGTGATTGCTTTCTCTTCATCCTAGACAGTGTTGGATCTTGGATAATACGCTTCAGGTATGATGGAGTTCTTAGAAGTGCTACAGCCAAGTCTACCAGAGTCCTGACCAATCTCATTTTTTTTCTGTGCTGGTCAATGTCTTCCTGCTCCAGACTACAGCTCAGGAAAAAAACAGTGTAAAAATGTGTACCTCATTATCACAGATAGTAAGATAGACATTTGTTGTGAACATTTTTAGACTTGTACAAAAGTGAGACATGTCCACTGAATCCAATGAAAACCCCATCCTTTTTCCATTGGGCAGTGATCTTTAGGGAGGGATAGTCCCTGTCCATCTGGCAGTCACCTGTTATGCCCTTGAGATAACTGGTATTTTAGATTAAGCAAGAGACTTAATATAGACTTCATGTAGATCCTTGTAAAATGTACCTCAAGAGT